AAGAGATGATGATGTGGAGCGATGGAGCAGCTGGAGACTTTAGATCCAGAGAGGGAGAGCAACTGTGTGCTGAAGACCTGGTGGGTACGGGGGAAGGATTGCATGGAGGGGGTTGTAACCACGGCAATGAGACGATATATATGATAGAATGAATGTAAAACTAATGTTCTCCCATGTAAACTATCACATAATTCACAATAAAACATTTAAGGAAAAAAAAAAACATTGCTATTATTACAATAGCAATGTTTTTGGTTTTTTTTTTTTTTGCAACAATAGCAAAAAACATTGCTATTGTTGTTAAGAAGGATCTCTGGTAGCGTAGTGGTTACGAATCGGGCTGCGAATTGAGCAATTGCTGGTGAGCTTGAACCACCGACCTTGCGGTTCGAATGGCTTTGCAGCAGTCTGGCGCATTAAACCATAGCACCACACCAGGACTCCCTAGAGCCACTTGTGGTGGTGGCTGTGTGCCGTGGAGTCAGTTCCAACTCATAGTGACCCTGTACAGAGTTTCCAAGGCTGTAAATCTTTACGGGAGCAGAACGCCTCATCTTTCTCCCCCGGAACAGCTGGTAGTTTCGAAATGCTGACCTTGCTGTTCGCAGCCCTTTAAAACCATTGTTGTTGCTGTTAGGTAGCACAGAGTCGGTTCTGACTCATCGTGACCTGGTATAGAGTTTCCAAGAACCAGCTGATGGGTGTGAACCTTATGGTTAGCAAGCAGTCCAGTGCTTATCATACAGTGCCACACACTAGGACTCCTTAAAACCACTAGAGAGAAATAATAAAACAAGAGCTGCCTTTCCTTTTATTTAAGAAAAAAAAAAGATACCTTATAGGACCATGGACATACATGAAATCACACATTATGCAAATAACCGGTAAGTGACACATATCTATATATCTCCAACATCTTTCCAGCTACCACGAGCCTACCCATATGATCAACAAATGGGATACTTGGTCAAAACATTATCTTCAGATTTGTAAGGCAAAAGTTATTTCTAAATAAGAATTCTAAAGTAAAAAACACTGTCATAAGAGTACTTACTGCAATCCAGAAATTGTCTTAGACGTTCAAATATTCCATGTAAAAAACCCTAGAAAAGAGTATTTTTAAGTGTCTCAATTTATTCTGTTATAAATATTTGCCTTATAATTTTTCAGAGTTACTATAAAACATACGGAATGCCTCAGAAAAAATTAATAGAGTAAGAATAAGTTAAAACGATAGAAAGCAAAATATATTATAAGTTTTCCACAAGAACTGTAATATTTTATCTCTTCATTATTACCTAAATCACTTTGTAATAAATAATTGATTAAGGAGTGTTTCTATCCTCCTTACTCTGATTTTTCATCACAACTTTTAAAATCCCATCTTATTTTCCCTATTACTGGTCTCCCCCCACTGGAATGTGGGCTCCTTGAGATGCAGAACTTTATTTTCAGATCCTAGAATACACAGAAACAATATTTGGCAATAATAAAATCTCAACAACTAAATAAGTGAAATGTTGTTAAGCTCTGTCAATTCGGTTCCAACTCACAGCAACCCAGTATAGTGGTTCCAAAGAGTGGCTGGTGAGTTTGAAACAACAACCTTGAGGTTCAAACCAACCTTGCAGTCCAGTGCTTATCCTGAAACACAACAGGATATGAATATGTGGTGCCAATTAATTAACTCAAAAATTCTTAACATCAAGTAATAGAACACTAGCCCTCAAAAAAACAAAAATGCAATCATCGCTCTTTATCACCTGGATCCAATGAAAACCACTGTTTCAAAATATAGGACTATTTTGTTGTTGTTAAGCACTGTAGAGTTAGTTCTAACTCATAGTAACTTTTTATAACATTTCCAAGGGCTAGCTGGTGGATTTGAACCACCGACCTTGAGGTTAACAGCTCAGTGCTTATCCTATAGTGCCACACCAGAATTCCTGTAGGAATATGAGTCACATCAATTCACTTCAATGAAAAAAAGAAAAATGAACACAATCACTTTTCGTTAATATATTTTTTAAAACTTAAAATGAGTATTACATTTAAAAATAATTAGACCCTTCTAACATATTGTTTTTAACATATTCATTCAATCAACAAATAATTATTTACTGCTTACTACATGGCAGTCTATTCCAAACACTGAGATGAATAATAAATTCCCTGCTGTAATACAACCAAAATTATAATAAGGAAAGATTTAGGGGAGAGGGGGAATTGCTGTCCATTTAAAGTTTTGGAACATTTTTGGCAATACAGCAATATATATAAATTTTTAAATCTACATTTTTAATTGATGTTAACTTTTTATATATCTTCTGGAAAATTATTATACATAGCAACAATTTTTTTAACTTTCAATTTCAACATTTTTAATGTGTATACACATTAACCCAACACTTCCATTTTGACAAATTTATCTTAGATAATTTTAAAAGTACTTAAAACACATATATATCAAAATAACTATTCCAGCATCATTTATTAGCAATTATAAACCAGCTGTATGTGCACCAATTGGTAACTGGGTGAGTAAATTACAGGTATTCTATATTAATTTTGGAGTCCTGGTGTGGCTCTGTGGCCTAATGCAAAGTTGTTTGAAATGTAAGGTCGGTGGTTTAAGCTCACCAGTTGCTCCTTGGAAACCCTATACGAGGGATGCTATGGGTCAGAATCAACTTGGTAGCACTTAACAACAACAACAACAATATTAATTTTATCTTTACTTATCATTACTAACAATGATGATACAGATATGTCATGCAATCATTTAAAAATATGACCTACATCATTATTACTGATGGAAAAACTATCCATAATACACTGAATTTGAGGGGTTGGCGAAGCATGTAAGGAAATGCTATGTATATAAAATTTTATACAAATTGAAAAAGAGAACGTATATGTGGAAGAATGTGCACAAGATATCTTAAAAGATACAAGTTTTAATAGTAGTGATACTCTGGAAAGTGAGAATTTAAATATTTTTCTATATTTTAAAGTGATACTCTGGAAAGTGAGCATTTAAATTTTTTTCTATATTTTAAAACTTTTTAAAATGAGTAATAATTTTATAAAACAAAACCGCCATCAAAGTTGATGCATAAATAGTGATTTTTAAACTCACTTAGCAAAAAGGACCATTTTTACACCACTCTGATACACAATATATACTGGGTTTTTTGGTATAAAAACAAAACAACAAAAAAAGGTGGTACTGGTTGAATTTTAAAAGGCAGGCTCTAAGACTCCACTGGAGTCCTAGTGTGGCACTGTGGGCCAAAGCACAGGATAACAAGGTCAGTTTGAACCACAAAGTCAGCAGTTCAAACTCACCAACCACTCCTTGGAAACCATATAAAGGGTCACTATCAGTCAGGACCAATTCAACAGCACGTAGCAACAAGAATCCATTAGATAACGTTTACCTCTGTTCATGAACAGACCCTAAAGCAATCCACAGAATGCTAAGATTTAGCTGAGCTAAACAACTTCATGGAGTCCAGGTATGGCGCTGTAAGATAAGCACTGGACTGTAAGGTCAGTTTGAACCACAAGATCTATGGTTCAAACTCACTGGGCGCTCCTCAGAAACCCTACACAGGGTTACTATAAGTCCAAACTGACTCCACACTACTTAACGACAACCACCAAGTCTACAACACTCAACAACAACCTCAACAGTCCATAACAACAAGCACAGTGTCTCCATACAATCAAAAAGCACTGGACTGTGAACCAAATGTCTGTGGTTGATGGAGCTCAGCAGCGACTCCATGGGAGAAAGATGAGGCTTTTCTGCTCCTAAAAGATTCAATAAAGCTAAATACAGGGTTCATTATGAGTTGGAACCAACTGTTGTTATTATTGTTGTTGTTAGGTGCCATCGAGTTGGTACCAACTCATAGTGACCTTACGCACAGCAGAACGAAACACTGCCCGATCCTGAGCCAACCTCACTACTGTTGCCACACTTGAGTCCACGGATGCTGCCACTTGGCCAATCTGTCTCGTTGGGGGTCTTCCTCTTTTTCTCTGACCCTCCACCTTTCCAAACATGATATCCTTCTCTAGCGACTGGTCCCTCCTGACAATATGTCCAAAGTATGAGATAAGTTCTGTCGAGTCGATTCCAACCCATAGCAAACCTGTATATGATTTCTGAGGACCAACCAGTGAGTTCGAACCTCCAACCTTACAGTTCAAACCAACTTTGCAATCCAGTGCGTTAACCCACAAAACCACACCAGGAGTCCGAGAACTAATATAAGCAAATATAATATAATCCAAATTTGTTTAGGGAAAAAAACAGCTATACATGCTTTTGTAGATGGTCATATACCAAGAAAAAACATACACCACAACTTATAGTAAGTTTATGAATAGAGTTTTTCCCCTATAATATATAGAAATATATTTTTCTAATTCTTTACAAAGAGTATGTATTAATTGTTATAAGACAAAAATCACTGTAAGTTCATTTTAAATACATAAAAAGAAAAAGGCAAACAAAATAGTCAAAGATATAACTGTCTATAATATGCCTCATTATGTTACAAATAACATCCAAATTCACAAGGATGTTATATTAAATTGAGAAATATCATGGGCTTATTAATTCCTTTCTTTCACTCCATAGCAACATTGATGTATGAAAACCTACAAGATACACAGAATGGTTTTTAAAAAAAAAAAAAGTTAGGATATTACTTTAATAAATATTTCTTAACGAATGCCCAAAAGTTCCTTAGTAAATATACTTTAATACATCACTTAGTCACAAGGAATAAATTACTTCTATACTTACCATCACCTCGATATTCTTATGAGGCTCCACAAATCCATTCACAGTTAACTTACGCAGCACTGAAAAGTAAAACCAAGCTTACTAGTACCTTATTTATTTTCATGTTTTATCCTATTAATATCACATATCTAATAAAGACTCAGAATTATAGAGTCTAATCATTTAGGGACTAATGTAGCTTAATTCTCTATTTTGTCACCATTTGCCCATATTGTGGTGGCTTGCATGTTGCTCTGACACTAGAAGCTACAAAATCACTATTTTATATACTAGCAATAGTAGACAGTTTCATTGACTGATACCTGTGGGAACCTCAGAGACAAAGATGGATAACATTTTTTGTTTTGTTTTGTTCTGAATTACTTGGTATCTGTTCATTGGCCTATCGCTGTCTGCACACCTCCATTAGGATGACTACAGAGGTTCCTGAGAGAGTGGATACTCCCGACCCCCACCACTGGAGGGTTCTTCTACTATACATGAGCACAGATCCTCTCAGCATTTAAAGAGACAGTCCCCACTTAAAACCAACCAGCAGAGCAAAAGTGCCACACTGGCCCTTAAATGTTTATTAATAGGGAAAGGCCAGAACACAGCTTGTGGATTGGAAGAGAGACTAAAAACAAAAAGGCTGAAAATTAGATCATGAGGTACATCATAACAACCAACAGTGGCATCTTGAAATTTATCAGGCGGCCCTGAAGACAAGAAGCAGAAAGATAAAATGTCATACTCATATTAGGCTACAGATTTTTCTCTTTTTTTCTTGCTCTCTCCTCTCTTGTTTCTATGATTATAGACTATAGTATCCAATCTGTTTTTATTGTTTTGTTTTCCTTTCTGCTGTTACTATCTTATTCTTTTTGGTTGCCCTTTTACTTTTAGGGGATGCTTTCTATCCCTATATTAGCCTAGATGAGACAGAAATTGCTACCACATAGTCAAACTACAATCACACCCTATAAAACCCACAATTCAGGCAAGAATCAATACCAACTGCCATACACCTGAGAGGCAGACAATGCCTGCAAAAGTTACTCTAAGTTAAGCTATAAGAGTGAAAAGGGAAGCCCACCTCCTGATCACATCTACCAAGAGGATATCAAAAAGCATTTTAAAAAATACCAAAACACACACTCAATTAAGTATTAAGGCCACAGCTAAACAATATACATGTCTAAGAATCAAAAACAGATGACCATATGAGCACATGTCCAGAAACAAGATAAAAGGTCTGAGACAAATGACCTAGAGGTAGACCTGGACTCCATTCTGGAAGGAGGGGAGGCCCTGGTAAGGCATTAGAAGAAATTCAGGAAAATCATAATAAAATGTTTCAAAACACTTTACCATGGAGTAGAGAAAAATGAGGAAGAAGTCAGAAAAGAGTTACAGGAACAATCAAATAAGATAGATACAGCATTGGTAACAATTCAGAACCTACAGAAAAAGGTCCAAACAATCAATAACAGAATATCAGAAATAGACAAAAATACACTTGAAAGGGCAAAGGAGCAGAATAGAAGAGATGGAAGACAGAACTAGTGAGCTAGAAGACAAATCTCTCAATATTACTAAGATAGAAGAGCAAGCAGAAAAAAAGATTTTAAAAAACCTGAAAATGGTCTAAGATTCATGTTGGACAACAAGAAGAGGAAAAACTTAAGAATTATCGGCATTCCAGAACAGGAAGGATCACACAATTCCACAGAGGAGACAGTTAAAGAGCTGATTAAGAAAATTTCCCTAACATCCTGAAAAGTGAAAAGATAAGCATTCAAGAAGCTCAATGAACCCCAAAAATGATAAACTCTAAAAGAAAATCACCAAGACATATTATAATCAAGCTCTCCAAAATCAAAGATAAGGACAGAAATCTAAAAACACCTAGAACAAAAGGAAGTATAACATACAAAGACAAGTAAATCACATTGACCTCGGATATCTCAACAAAAACCAAACAGGCAAAAAGGCAATGGGAATCAAAAGAGGGAACAAATCTTTAAATCAAGGATCATTTCCACCCCCTCCATACACAGAGTAGACAGTGATGGGCAACTTGGACATTGGCCACCCAAAATGGGGAGGGGTGGGGGGAGTACAAAGGCAAGAAGTGACTAGCTTACAAGCTTTCAAGAGGGAACCTAGATCTAGAGGACATGAAGGAAGGTAGAATCTCCAATGAATACTATCCAATCTGTCTAGGCAGGGCTGATGAAATGAAATGCGGATAGGTCTCTTGTGATACAATTTTTGTTGCTGTTGTTAAGTACTGTCGAGTCGGTTCCGACCCATAGTGACCCTGACAGGATTTCCGAGTCTGTAAATCTTTACGGGAGCAGAAAGCCTCATCTTTCTCCCGCGGAGCAGCTGGTTGTTTCAAACTGCTGACCTTGCAGTTCGCAGCCCGATTTGTAACCACTATGCTACCAGAGCTCGTGAATAATTATTATCAGGACTGACTGTAAGGGTTGGAAATGTAAAGGCAGAGGTTTGGTAGCAAGGAGGGGAGTGGTTAACTTTTCAGTCTAGGAGCAGAAGACCCTGAGACCATCAAGGAAGAAGAGTACAGAGTGGGACCCTACCCAGAGAAGCAGTGATACCGGAGATGGAGGCACAGACAATGACATGGAGAGATGGAGCAGCTGGGGACTCTAGACACAGAAAGGAAGAGGGACTGTGTGCTGATGACCGGGGGGCAGGCTTGTAGTGTATACCCTTTGGTTGGTTGATGAAGCATAGAAGGGATTGTAACCATGACAATGAAACGATATACAATAAGCTGAAGGTAAAATTAATGTTCTCCCATGTAAACTATCACATAATTAACAATGCTATTGTTGTTGTTAAGTACCGTCGAGTCGGTTCAGACTCATTGCAACCCTGTACAGGGTTTCCAAGGCTGTAAATCTTTACAGGAGCAGAAAGCCTTATCTTTCTTCCGCGGAGATTCATAACCACTACTCTACTAGAGTTCCTTTAATTAACAATAAAACATTTAAAATAAATAAATAAATAAGGCAATGGGAAGACATATACAAAACCCTGAAGAAAGAACTGCCGATGAAGATCCCTTTATCCAAGAAAGTTACCAATCAACTGTAATCAAAACATTGCAGGATAAACAGAAACTAAGGGATTTTGCCAAAGTCAACAAAAACATCCTAAAGGGAGTTCTGTGGACTGAGAACCAACAAGAACAGAAAACAACCAGAAATTGACACATGTGACAACACCTCCTGGAACTCAACTGACAAATGGAAGAGCCAGGAACAGAACAAAACTATAAGAACAAATTCAGAGGATCTAGGAAGTCAGTCTATGATAAAACAATTACAATGTGAAAGAAGGTAAATATGTAGGAACAGATATAGAGATGGTGAGAAGTTCAGATAGATTACAAGATAAAATAGACTGCACTAAGTGGAGGAAAAGTTAATGGAATGTAAGTTATCCTCAAGGAAAAATAACAATTCACAACATACAAAGAAAATGAAAATACACAAAGAATACAGAAATATTAAAAAAAGAGAGCAAACTGACAAGAATGAACACAAAAAGCATTAATTCAGCACAGGAAGACAAGCAGAACAAAAAAAGCAGTATCACCACAAAAAAAAACATAAAATGGCAGCAATGAATCCATACCAATCGATAATTACACTGAATGTAAATGGATTAAATGGACAAGTTAAGGGTGGCAAAATGGATAACAAAACAAGATCCTTCAATATGCTCTCTGCAAGAAACTCATCTCACACACAGAGACAAAAACAGATTAAAATTCAAAGGATGGGAAAAAATACACCTTTAAAAGTCAAAGGATCTTTGCTCTCAGGTCAAGAATCACTGCGCAAACAGAAATTGTTACCTTTTTTTGCCTTGCCCATCATGTAAATCAAATGTCTAGGGACATTAGTCTCGCTCATATGATC